ATCCTCCCCCCCACTCACAAAGCCCCCCACCGTCCCCGGTGCCGGCGGCTTCGGCCGCCAAGACACCGACCAGACCTCCCCGGTGTCCTGGATAGTCGACACCGCAGCACGCGCTGCGATATCCCACACCTTGATCGTTTTATCCGCGGACCTGGAAGTAAAGGTAAGGTGTCATGAGTAGGAGCAGGGTGAGAGGGGCGAAGGAGGGGGAGAGGTACCCACCCTGAGAGCCCTAGCCTGCCGTCGGGGGAGATATCGGCGCTGAGGACCCAGGAGGAGTGGCCAGTGAACGCGGCGACGGTGCCCCCTGGTGAGGACCGGACGTCGTGGAGGACGAGGCGTTTATCGTCTGAGGCGCTTAGGAGGAGCTGCGGGATGGGGTGAGGGGGGTCAGACAGCGGAGCATGAACAAGATGGGAGGGGGGCGTACACTGGAATCGGGGGACCACGCGAGGGAGCGGACGGACATGGCGTGGGAGGTGTATGTTGCGCTGAGGGAGCTTGTTTCGAGGTCGAAAATGAAGATCTGGCCCGTCTCGGAGGACATCGCGATTCTCCGACCGTCTGGGCTCTGTACAGGGTTAAAGGTGATGTGAGGGACGGAGCAGGGGAAGGAAGGGAGTTATGGTGCACGTACGTGGGAGCAGTACATCCCGAATTTATGTCTTCCGGATGAGAGTGTTGAGAGGCGTTCGCCGAAATTGGAGGTTTGAGCGGAACGGATGAAGATGTTCCCTGAGCCGCCACACGAAGCGTAGGTTTCGCCCTTTGGGTTTAGCGACACGGACCACGCTGTGAAAGGGGAGGTCAGCTCGTCTCATAGCAGAAACACGAGACGGACTCACAAGGTTCAGAATCACTGCTCGTCCGGATATAACTCTCATATTTCGCCGTGATGTCCCCCGAAGACAGATCCCACAGCGACGTCAGCCCTTCCAGACTGTTGTAGATCGCACGTTGTGCGTCTGGAGCGACGGAGAGCGAGACCAGTCCTAGAGTGTGTGGCGGTGGGAAGGGCGCGTTGGCGGGAAAGGGCTGGCCCGAGGCTGCAGACCACTGCTTGATGGATCCGTCTGCGGAGATGGATATGGCGTTATCTGCGGAGGTCCATTGCACCCCCCAGACGGCGTCGGCGTGCGCTAGAGCAGTTCATGAGCTGACATCGAGCAGATCACATGAGAAGAGAGATTGCTACGTTCGGAGCAGTCGTGCGCGTGTAGAAAAGCAAGACTCTGGGCATGTCTTCAGTCTCTACTTCGGATCCAAAAAAAAGCAGGACACCCACCATTTTCAGTGTCGCTCAACGCGTCTTGGTCGCCGCGTGAGACGATGAGCAGGGGACGGAGTTGCCCGTGCGGAGTTCCAACTCCGTCTGTGTATAACTCTGCATCTTAAACCTTATTTTTTCCTCACATCAACGAGAGCGGACGAAGACATCCAACACTTTTACAGCCAATTCATAATATAAAAGTATGTCTTCTACTCTGTGGCGTTGTCCTAGGATGCTCATCGCACGTTTCCCCTAGGATGTCCGACGCTGGAGATGACATTGCTATCGACGCACCCGCTGAGGTCGAGGTCGCCGCTGAGGCTCCCAAAGGAAAGCTCTCTGTTGAGGATGCTCTTCAGGTGCGTAGCGCCGCTGCGCCAATCCCACCCAGATCGCTCACGAATAGTACAGCAAGTTTTGAAAAACGCCCTCGTTCACGATGGTCTCGCCCGCGGTCTCCGCGAGTGCGCCAAGGCCCTGGACAAGCGCCAGGCCCATCTGTGCGTCCTCGTTGAGACCTGCACGGAGGCCGAGTACATCAAGCTCATTGAGGCGCTCTGCGCTGAGCACAAGATCAACCTGATCAAGGTCGGTGACGCCAAGGTCCTCGGTACCTGGGCTGGTCTCTGCAAGATCGATCGTGAGGGCAACCCCAGAAAGATCGTTGGATGCAGCTGTGTCGTTGTTAAGGAGTATGGTGTCGAGAGCGAGGGTCTCCATGTCCTCCTCGACTACTTCAAGAACCGTTAATCGGTGAGTATTTATATTTCGGTTTCTGTGAGAGCCTTCGTGCGCTCTATGATGACAATACAGACTCCCTCAACTGAGGATTCGTCCTTTGAGGATACAAGTCTATCCGGAATCATTATATTTATGTCTGATTCAAATTTCTTTTGTGATGCTATTCAAGGTCTATGTGCTCGTTTGCTGATACTACTTTGTTCTAGGCTTCTTGTCGTTACTGTCTGCTGTACCTATCTTTCTTATCAGAAACAGAGCTTGTCAGCAGCATTTGCGTCCACCTTGAGCATCCGCAGGTCTGTAAGGACCCGACATGACGACAGTTTTCTCAGACGATTTCGACTACAGCCAGTCTTTCTCGCCGTAGGGTTAGTTTATATAGATCAGTGTACAGCTCACTCGGGTGTCAGTCGATGATCATCGTCGAGGTCCAAAACCTGGACTACAAGAATATTGCAAAGCATATTCATTCTGCCCTCGTCATTCGGACACCTCTACAAGCACTCTCTGGCATCTGTCGTGGCTACCTTTATTAGCCCTTGAAGAAACCTTGTTTGTCTCGTCTACATACCAGTAGACTCGCCGCTCCGAGGAGGCATGCTCGTCTTGCCGTGGAAACGTTCTGATCCGAGATCTAAGGAAGAGATGACGATCGCAACTTCAAATTGATCTTTCCATATCTTTCCATCTACACCATGCCCACACAAGTCAAGAACAAAGTCTGCCTCATGCAAGCACGACTCTACATCCCTTCACCCGCCCAATTCTGACCTTATCGCAGTGTTCACGATGGCTGGGGCGTCGCAAGGGTGCCAGGACTCGAAGGCAACGCCATCGAAGCCGGGACCACGACGAACATGGACAAGATCGCCGCGGACCACAGCCATCGCCTGCTCAACGCCCACGGGACGGCGGTGGGCCTCAGCGATGGGCTCATGGGCAACTCTGAAGTCGGGTGCGCACCCCTCCCTGCTCGACTGTTCATACCCTTATCCTTTTCTACAGACACCTAAACATCGGCGCAGGCCGCATCGTATGGCAAGATATCGTGCGGATCGACGTGTCGATCAAGAAGAGGCAGTTCCACAAGAACAAGGCGATCCTAGACAGCTTCCAGCACGCGAAAGACACCAACGGGCGGTTGCATCTCTTGGGCCTGGTGAGCGACGGCGGTGTCCACTCGCACATCAACCATCTCTTCGCGCTCCTCGAGACCGCGAAGGAGGTGGGTGTTCCCCACGTGTATGTGCACTTCTTTGGCGACGGCCGCGATACCGCTCCTCGCTCTGCGGCGGGGTATTGCCAGCAGCTGCTGGACTTTATGAAGAAGGAGAAAGTCGGTGAGCTGGCGACGGTCGTGGGGCGGTACTACGCCATGGACCGTGATAAGCGCTGGGAGCGGGTTAAGATCGCTGTCGACGGCCTGGTGAAGGGTGAGGGCGAGGATGGAAAAGGCGCTGAGGGCGTCGTTGACGTCATCAAGGCGAACTACGAGAAAGACGTCACCGACGAGTTCTTGAAGCCCATCATCGTGAACGGCGATGCTGGTCGTATTAAGGGTATGCTTCGCGTCTCTGGGAATACTTGAGGCTGATTAGTCCGTATCAGACGGCGATACCCTGTTCCTGTTCAACTACAGGTCAGACCGGATGCGAGAGATTGCTTCCGTCCTTGGACTTCCGGAGAAGCCCATGGAGGTCGACGTCCCCAAAAACCTCGTAAGCACACCCCGACGCCTCATATACGCCATCGCTCATCCCACGACTGAATAGCACATCACCACCATGTCGCGCTACAACATCGACTTCCCCTTCCCCATCGCCTTCCCGCCCCAGCAAATGACCAACGTCCTCGCCGAATGGCTCTCCAAACAGGGCGTCAAGCAGGCGCATATCGCAGAGACGGAGAAGTACGCGCACGTCACGTTCTTCTTCAACGGCGGCGTGGAGAAGCAGTTCGAGAACGAGGAGCGGCACATGATCCCCTCGCCCAAGGTCGCTACGTACGACAAGCTCCCGAAGATGAGCGTACACGGCGTAGCGGAGAAAGTCGCAGAAGTGCTCAAACGCGGGGATCAGGATTTCGTCATGTGTAACTTTGCTCCTCCCGACATGGTACCACCGTCCTTCCTTCCTTCTTACCGCTTCCCTGACTCTGCCCTAGGTCGGTCACACGGGCGTGTACGAAGCTGCTGTTGAAGCTATCACCCATACTGACGCAGCGGTGGGCACGGTGTACAAAGCCGCGCAGGAGGCGGGGTACATCCTGCTCATCACGGCGGACCACGGGAACGCGGAGCAGATGAAAAACCTCGAGACAGGTGCACCGCACACAGCGCACACGACGAACCCCGTGCCGTTCATCATGACGGGCGACCCGAAGAGGTTCCAGTTCGTGATGGACGGGGTGAAGGAGGGGGAGGGGGAGGTGGAGGTGGAGGAGGGGGCGTTGTGCGATGTGGCGCCGACGGTGTTGGCGTTGATGGTACGTGGTGTCTTGTTTGCTTGCTTTCTTTATGGGAGGATGCTTATTAGATTGTTTGGGGTTTAGGGGCTGCCGATTCCTGAGGGTGAGTAGGGTCTTTCTTTGCGTGTTTCTGTGTTTGATGTCCTTGCTTTTTTTTTAGACATGACTGGTCGATCTCTCTTGAAGACTGAGTAGAATGTAACTGACATAGAAACGAGATATGAATTTAGAGTATAGAATTGTTGTATGCAAGTAGTACAGCTCCCGAGATGAATGCAGGTGCACGAATCGTAGACCTGAGCTGTCGGACTGCCATGTTGCGAGAGCCATAACCGTATGTGATGCGCCATAACAGCGTATCATGAGTTGGTGAGCGGGATTTATTTCGTCGTATTTCATCGAGGTTGGTGTAAATAATTTCCACGCCACGGTCCAAAAGACCGCAGTCGGCCCTAGCGAAAGGGAAGAGGCAAACGTTTGCTCCTCAAGTATATGTGATAACCGGATGTTGCATTTCCAACACAGCAGCATGGCGCAGTTGGAAGCGCGCGGGGCCCATACATACTCCTTGAAAGTTGTCACCCCGAGGTCACTTGATCGAAACAAGTTGCTGCTATGCATTCATACTTGCCGACCTTTTTTTCTCGTGTCGACTCCGCTTATCTACCTCGCAGCTATCTGTCCGGACACTGGTCATATACCGTCAGAAACATACCGCGTCCGCCGTCGTGAATGAGTTTTTTTCACTAGGCCTCGAATATGTTACACGATCCACGTGGTGCGTCGCGGAGGAGGAGGAGCTAATAGTGACTAGACTGACAACGTGCCACCCTCGGTGCTTGGCCCCTTGATGATTCTCTAAGCTTCCCATTTGCGAGTCGCCAGACAGCTGCTGCACTGAAAGTAGCGAAAACGAAGTGAATGAGGAGGCAAGCTCGCGTTCCTCAAATATATGTGATAACCGAATGTCGCACATCTAACACAGCAGCATGGCGCAGTTGGAAGCGCGCGGGGCCCATACCATGCATCTCTAGATCTGATTGCCACCCCGAGGTCACTTGATCGAAACAAGTTGCTGCTATACCATTCCGTGATCTGGAAACTGTTTTCCATTTTTTATTTTCTCTTCCGTGACTGCTGTGCCGTACCAGGCGTACCGCGTCTATATCTGGATTCTGCAGTTCAGCTGACACTGTTGGGCGATAACAAGACCCGCCATGACCGCCGAGCTCAATTGGTCCAGATTTCAGTCAGAGGGAATATGGTGCTCGAGGATCCCACTCATCGCAATGGTGAGTACACGTATTGAAAAATGTCCAGACATATACAAGCGAGGTAGAGAAACAGAGTCGACACGAGAAAAGTAGAGTCGGGTTGGTGCGTTATTAAGGACAAGGGAGGTACTACAGTACCACCAGGTTAAGTAGTGCTACTTGCTATCAGTATGAAGGCAAACTCGGGACTCTTAGCTTGTCTTGTATGGGTCTCTGATTCCGCCAGCTACTGCATCAGGTCGCGTCAGAACATACCCGGACGCGTCGTGGACGAGTTTTTCCTCAAGCCTTGAACGCGTTACACGATCCACGTGATATGTCGCGTCAGGTCGCGTTCAAACGTCACCCGTCGCGCAGGAGGAGCTGATACTAATAGTAACTAGAAGGACGGCGCCTTGCCATCCTCGGCGTTCGGCCGCTGAATGATTCTCTAAAACTCCCATTTGCGAGTCACCCCACAGCTGTTGCACACCATAATGTACCCTGACACATAACACCGAACACCATACTCGCACCAGCCCCAATCGCATCACATCACAAGCACCAGATCGAACTACACATGAACCGCGTCCCACCTCAATGACGATAGACGATATCCTAGCCCAGTGACACCCCCAAATCTATAATTATAATGCTACGACAAAGTAAAACAAGTAAAAAAAAGTAACAACACCCGAAGCAGAGTACGAACCTCCCAAGTAGTATGTACCTACAACACTCCAAATTCCACACTCTCCCCCACGCAGTCAGGGCAAGGGAGGATAGACTAAACTGATATAAACGTATGCATATGTATGAAAACAAGGCGGGGCGGGCGGGGCGGACAGGGATGTGGGATGGGGATAGGATGTGTTTCCTGGATCCTGGGTCCTAATATGATAGTAGTAGTAATAGTATAGTGGTAGTAGCAACATATCATAAAAGCACAATAGACAACAAACAGGGGGCATGATCGAGAGCCCGCGATAAGAGGGGGGGGGGGGGAAAGACATAACAGGGGCGGGGGCATGACGAACGGCGAATGACGAGCAGCATGGCATAATCACAGTAGTCGTGCACGGCAGCTGCCGCAGTATGAAAAGCATCGGAAAGAGGTGTCGCAGTGGAGAAGTCTTGAGACGCAAAAAGATATGGTCACAGCATGTAGCGTGCCATCCCCAATGCTCATTTCTTCTTCTTCATCTGGAAGAACTCAAGCATAGCCTGGCTAACCGCCTCATGGTGGCTAATCGTAAGATCATGCCCAGCGCCCTCGAACGTGATCAGCCGTGAGCGCTCTCGGGTCGCGGGCGGGAGGAGCGTGAGTATCAGGGGGCCGTAGCGCGGGTTCACCGTATTGTCTTTCGTGCCCTGGGAGGAATGTGAGTGCTTTCGCTGGAAATGCTGGTAGAGGAGCATGTACGTACGTGGATTACTAGCACAGCTCGATCCCTGAATCCTTCCGACGAAAAAGAGGGCGCTTGACCCCGGATGGGGCCGTCGCGCATCGATGAAGACAGCGCTGCATTGTACCCTGTCAGGTGCGCAGACTGCAGTCGTACAATCTACCACAATGTGGTTTCAATGCGTGCTAAGATTAGGGATCCGATGAAGACGCACCTCCGTGACTACATTTTCCTTTTTGTCTGCCGGGGCCGCTGAGGCCGTTAGTGCGGCGGACGGGGTAACGGAGGTGGTGTTTTTCATGATCAGGCGTTGGAGGTATTTCTGGAACGTGAGGACGGGCATCAATGATCTGAACGTCCCGAGGCGAAACAAAATGGATGAGGGCTTACCCGGACCGGGACACTGGAGGTTGCAGTCTGAACAAGCGGCGATGACATGAATTTCGCAGTACGTGATATGTCGCTGGCCTGAGCGTACGGGGGTTGAGTAAACAAGGCCGGCTCAGAAAGTTCGCCGCAAGGGACTTACCTCCATGAGACCGGCGCATGCGATCAGGACAACCTTATCGTCGACGAGGTGCGGGAATTGTGCCGTGAACGCCGTGGCAATGCCTCCACCCTAACACAGCCAATCAGCAAACCTAATCAAAGCGCCGTGGGCGCGCTGCAGGATCACGGACCATGGACACGCCCGCGATTATCGCTTTTTCCCACCGGAGATGTTGCATGAGCAGTGCGAGCTGTATTGTGTATAGGTTGGCGTCGTACGTCGTTTGGGGAGCGTCGGAGTAGCCTCTTCCGTATAAGTCTATGTGGTTGGTAGTGCGACGCAGATCAGCACGCGTTGAGGTTTAGATGAGTGGATGAAGCAGTGCGTACCATAGACCAGCACGCGATACCCGCGCGATGCAAGCGTCGGAGCAACATCCTCCCATATCATAGCGGGTATCGAGAGCCCATGTATCAGCACCACCTAAGTTCGTCGGGTCATCGGTTAGTCTACGATCGTGGTTTCGATGTCGTAGGATGCACCTTCTGCCCTTTCTCAGGCCCCATAAGCCAGTACCGCACCTATAGAGTCGCTCAGACATCGGAATGGAAGATGGCATCGATGGAACGTACGCGACCAAAGGGAAGCGAGACATAGTCTCCGCCGGGGTAGAAGTTCTCTGGATATATCGACCAGGACTTGGCATCAGGTGGCAGGCTTGCGAGGGACTTGTGGAGGTAGACGGCCTCGGGAGGATTGGGGAAGGCGGCGAGAAGGTAGGTGGTGATGAGGAGTGGTGGGATGATGAGCAGGGACAGCGTCAAGCACTGGAACGGATTCGACACCATCGTCGTGGTCGTGTCGCAATTAACAGATCGCAGACACGAGGCTTTGTTTAATTTCCGGCCACGTGCGTTTGCTTGGTGGTAGAGCTCGTGACAAACAACGCGTCGCGCACATGCTTGTCCAGGAAGACGAGATATTTGAAACATGCATGCTCGCCCTCCCTTGATGGAACGGGTATTGCGCCAGCAACAGGTACCCCACCCGTCAAAGATAAACTGGCTTTGGCGTGAAAACGAGCCCAACATCCCTACAGATAGAACCTGATTTCACTCCCCGCGCCTAAGAAATTCACATTAGGCTTTCTAAGGGCGATAGTAAGGTAGATATTAATGTCAAGAATCATATAGTAAAGACTACCGAGCGCGAAGGTACAAGATGTTTTCAATATGCAACATTTTCCTCATCGTCATCCATCTCCTCGTCATCGTCCGAATCCTCTGCATACGGGTCTCCAACGGTGTCCGAATTCGAAGATGCATCGTCATCTTCGTCCCCCCCGTCGTACCATCCGCCACCCCACCTACCCGCATTTGCACGCTCATAGGATGCCTCGTTTATCCCCCAGTAAATGTCCTTCCAACTCGCGACACTCCTGCTCCAAATGATATTCGTTTTCCCCGGAGGCTTCGTCCCAACAAACTCAAAGTTACCCATCCAGCGCATCTGCCCCCGCAGCTTACAATCCCCAAGAAACGTGATACTCGCCGTATTCTCCTCACCATAAGTCATCTCCCCCTCGCCTTCCTCCTGCCCCCGCCATTGGAAATGCACCGTATCTCCAATGTGGGTGGGCAGGGTACCGTAAGACCTCATAACTCCTGAGACGATGCCAAAGTGGAACCATACCCAGAGGTGGGAGCGCCCAGGCGAGAAGGACATCTTGAGCTTCATTGTCTGAGTAGACGATTCCCATTGATCGCGCAGGTACGGCGCTATGACCTTGTATTCGCCCAGGTGGTCGACGGTGTCAGATAGGCGCTTCTGTGAGGTAATACGTTCTGAGCCTATGGTCACTAGTTCCTTGTAAGTCTACTTACCCTGTAATCGGCCTTGCCTTTGCCCCTACCCTTGGCCGCTTGTGCCTTAGCAGCTTCAGCTTTATTTATGGCGTCCAGTTCCTTCACAGCCGCTCGCTTGAACGCCGGAGTCTTCTTGTCGAACACGAGCCTTTCCAAAATGACCCGGAGCTGCGCTTCCGTCAGTGCAGCGATGCCTTTCCGCAACTCCGCGTCTGAAATCTTCTTCGCCTTCGTTCCAGAAGGACCTTCGCTATCGCTGTCCGGGATGGTACCTCGACTGACGACGACACCGATATCCGCAAATTCTTTCAGAATCGCGTCGCTCTCCCCCCTCTTCTTGTTTTGTTCCTCCTGCCTAGCTTTCTCCTGACGCGCCCGCTCTTCCTTGAACTTCTGTGCCGCGATCTCATTCGCCACCTTGTACTCTTCCTTCAATTCCGCTTCCAGCGCCAGAATGTGTGGTGGAACCTCTAGCGTCCGTGTCGTAGGATTAAACGCTGCGAGAAGATGTTTCTTCGCCGCAGGCCGCGTTTTGTACTCATTGAGACCGTAGTGCCAGCACTGAGCCTGGTAGAAGTGCCCCGGGGAGTCCTTATGGGGTGCGGGTTGGCGGACTGCGACCTTGCCTGCTTTGGTAAGAAGCGGGCCAGAGGGCGGAGTGTAGGTAAGGAGGTCGTACAGGGCGTAAGAACTGGCGCGTGGGTGACGATGGCGGTCGATTTCGACGTAGAATTCGCTGCCTGAGTAGTAGAAGCCACTGCGGGAGACAGGAGGGGCGTAGCTGGAGCTGTGAGACATTGCAATTGCAATGGGAGAAGGGAAGAGAAAAGGGGCTGGTTGTTCCTGAATCGTCTCATTTAAATTAGCGCGCCTGGTAACGTGATCGCGTCGATTATTCTCCCCCTCTTCCCCCGTCCTGCCTTTCCCCAGCGTCTACTCGACCTGTTTGACCTCCTCATACTGCTCCCATTGCTCGTGGACCTTCGCCTGCGCAATATTGCTTCAACTCCCATTCTACGCGAGGATGCACGATGGCACCGCCAAGCCGTCTTAGCATCCAACGTAGTGTTTCTCGGCCGCCAGCCGCTGCTTGAGTGTTAGACTTGTGTTAGACACCGCGCCTAGTGAAGTTTCGGAAACTAGTCCTTGTACGGTGGAGGTTGCCGTTCGGCGACCTGTCTGCCTTGGCGAGGCGGTCACCGCTCTGTATACGTCAGAAGGGTGTGAAGCGCGGCGGGGTCGGAACGCTTGTGGTGATGGTGTTCAACGTCCTCATGAAAGGAGTGGCCATCGTAGTAAAAGCCATCGCGAGAGGTGTTCGGGGCGTAATCGTCGCTCGTGAAAGAGAGAAGAAAGGAAGTTTGAAGTTGAATTCTGTTCCTAGATTTCGCCAAGCCACTCATTTAGGTGGCGTCAGGGACCGTGACCCTATTCCATCGCCATGTCATCAAAACCGCCCACGCCAACCTTGCTGCGCCACCCTCACGAAAGTCCATGACCGTTCGCTGAAGGGGTTTCCAGGACGCAGTGACTACGCCTCTCCCCTAAGCTGTTGTTAGCTATAATGCAACGATATCTGTTGAATGTCAACCGACCTTAGCTCAGTTGGAAGAGCGCAAGACTGTAATGGATACCCCACCTCATCTTGATGTCGCCTGTTCGAACCAGGCAGGTCGGATGTGGAATATTGTGCGAGCAACTTTTTTTGGCAGTGTTTCCAATCTTATGCGGCGAGCAACCGTCCTAATCATGGCCTCGGTAATTCCGTGGACCGTGATACATCATACAAGCATCCTCACCTAGAGGCCACGGTGGATCGATGCCCTCATCCGCAAAGCCGCATCAAGAAGGGTCGTATCGTCAGGAAGTCTTGTTCGTAGTCGAACATCGACCGACCTTAGCTCAGTTGGGAGAGCGCAAGACTGTAACGGATATCTCATCTTGATGTCGCCTGTTCGATCCAGGCAGGTCGGAATCCACTGTCCTGTAGGTTATCCTTTTATCGTTCTCTCGCGCAGCGCGCTGCAAGGAACTTTGCAGATTCTCAGCGTTCGACGTACACATTTGGAGTCTCCTGTTCGATCCAATGAGGTCAAAGTGGCTGTAAGACTGGGTGATTTTTTGTTCTTGATGTAGCATCAAGTGTGTACGCTCGGCTTGTGATCCTCTTGATGTCGTCAGCTCATCTGAGCCCATTGAACCAGGCATGAACGGTCTCTTGAGTCTTAGGGCTTGAAATGAATGTATGCCATCCATCAGCGCACTCAGGCCGGAAATAGGACTGCACTCCGAAATACCACGGGAGTAGTTGACTTGTAGGATGTGAATATCAACTTCTGATACAACCCTCTATCAACCCTCTATCATCAAATAGAGTTCCGATTATTGAGCAAACCTCAGGGCGTCAAAAGGATTGGTGGTATCATGTTATTATGCAGCATAAGATCCAGAGAAAAGGTACCGAAATTAACTAAGACAGATACACTATGCACTCTTCTCCTCCATATATTCAACCTTCTGCAAACACGAGCCTGGTCAGCAAGGGCTAAGAATAAGTGATGCAGGCTACTCACGGGCTCATGGGTACCCTTGACATGGCTGGCGAAGGTCTCGTTGCCGGCAAGGAGCTGCTTGCCGTATGCCTCGGAGTTGATGACTATTGAAAGAGATGGTGAGACCGGTGTTCATGGGGACGAAATATCAACGTACTGCTCGACTCGCGGTAGAGGAGATCGATCTGCTCAAGGGACAGACCCTTTGTCTCGGGGATGAAGAAGTATCTAAACGTCGGGTATGGCGCGCATCAGTGAGGGGTGTTCAGGGCGACGGTATCAAACGAACGCTTGCTTACGTGAAGATGAAACATCCAACACATGTGGAACCCCAGATGAAGAACACCTTGACTCCGAGATTGGCGGTCTTGATACCGTTGATGCCGGTCGTCGTGGGGTTGACGAGGTACGGGGTGGCGTACCCGATACCGAAGTTCCAGAGCCAGTTGCTGGCGACACTGAGGGACATTCCCTTGGCACGGATGTGGAGGGGCTGGAAGATATGATGTTAGAGGCGGGCGAGATTGTCAATTTGGGCTGTGGGCGACTCACGAAGATTTCACCGGTGACGACCCAGGCGACGGGACCCCAAGATGTGGCGAAGAACGCAATGTAGATGCAGACAAATGCGATGAGGACACGTTGCGCGGGCAAGTTCACAGAGTGATCGAGTTGAATGTGGCCAGCAGTGACACCAACCTAGGAAGGAAAATGCACGGTTCAACCCGTGTTCGGTGGTTTGAGGGTGAAGGGAACTTACGATGGCGACAATGAACTCGCAAAGGCACATGCCAATGGCACCGATGAGCAGAAGACGCCTGCGACCGACCCTGTCGATGAGTTGGATGCCGACGATGGTGCTAGCCGTGTTGACAACATCGCAGATAATGGTGATGATGAAGGGGTTGGCGATACCGGCAGACTTGAAGAACGTGGTGCCGTAGTAGACTGTTGTAGGGTCTATTAGTACGAGTAAAGGGTGAAGGGCGTGAAAAATGAAACCTACAGATGAAGTTGATACCGGTGAGTTGTTGCCACTGTACAACGGGTCAGATATGGGGAGCATGTATGAAGACGATAAATACTGACTCCTTGGAGGAGCATACCGGTCCATGTCCTGAGACCGTTCTTGCCCTCATTGTTGCGGAAGCAATCAAGGTACGAGCCGCTGCCAAGGGCACGATCGGCCTCGAGGGTAGCCATGATCTCCTCGAATTCGACGTCGACTTCGGGAGAGTTGGGGGGTTGAGTGAGCAGACGTCCAAGGGCGATGCGGCCAGCTTCTTCGCGTCCCTTCTTGAGCAGGAATCGAGGAGATTCAGGGAGGAAGAACTATTCGAGTGTTAGCCGAGAGCGCTTGCGGGGAAACGAAATACACACCATGCCAAGGGAGAGAACAGCAGCCCAGGCGAATTGAACAGCGATGGGAGTCCTCCATGAGCTGTGGCTTTGCTGGGCCTTGGTGGCGTTGAGGACGATGGCGGCAAGAAGAGCACCAACGGTAACTGGGTGGAAAAATAAGGTTAGTGAGGTACATGAAAAATCGAGACCGTCACTGACTGGCAAGTTGGTAAAGGCCGACGATCAATCCACGAATGTTCTTGGGGGCACACTCAGACTGGTACATGGGAACAAGGCAGGAAACGAGGCCGACGCCCAATCCAGCGATGACTAAAAATGGGCATCATGAGATCCATCCTTGAAAGGAATAATGAGACAGGTACTCACCACGTCCGACGACAAATGTTGCCCAGGTGGTATCGAGTTGGAGGCCCACACCAAGACAGAAGACACCGCACGAAGCGATGATACCCCATTTACGGCCAATTATATCACCCATAGGGTAAGCGAGCAAGGCTCCGAAGAACGTTCCCGCCGAGAGGATAGAAACCTGGCATCTGATCAGCTTTTTAAACGTGGACCAGAATATAAGTGACTTACGACCAAACTCTGTTGATCTGTGGGAAGGTAGTAACCGAGGTCGCCAACCTTATCGAAAGTGCCGAAAGTGTGCAACCAATCATCCATAACGATGATACCACCGATGGTTCCGGTGTCGTATCTGAATAGGAGTCATTGTTAGGGCGAAAAGAGGGCGCGAAGGAGAGGGGAAGCGTACCCGAAGAGAATACCACCGAAGGCTTTCAGAGGACCATGTTCAGTTAACAAGCGCGCAAAGAGATGCTCTGAATAACATACCGGCAAAGGCAGACATAACTACCGACCAGAACAGGGAGTGCGACGACACCCCGCTGCCTGAACCTCCTGGTCCGCCACCCATTGTTTCACTAAGATGTGTATGAAGGGTGAAAGTTCAAGATGGTGGTGTACACGCCAAATTGCTGACGCTGAGGTGGGGGTAGGTCGCAAAACCCGGGGCCGGCCAGGGGGTTTAAATAATACGGAAGCTGAGGACTCAGGGACCCGACCAGCTAGGAGGAATTCTTGGAAGGAGTTATTTTTAGATCGATATGAAACTCGAAAATTACGCCGCCATGCGTTGATGGCAAGATGAAAGTTGACCGATCGATGGTTGTTGGGAGGAAGACAAAAGCACATGGAATTTTAAAAGCATTCGCAAGTGTTCCTGAGGTATAGAAGACTCGACGCGCTCTGAACGATTCAGAATGCAAGACTTGCCTGAGTGAATAAGACCAGATAAGACCGCGGCCAACATGTCGCACATAGCATTTCCGGACCAGTTAGCCCGCTTAGTCTGTGGCCCGAGATCCGGGGTGCTTACTGCAGCGATGAATTTAGACGGGGAATGTACCTTAAAGTGTGGAGAGTGCCCTCAAGGACCCCATCCACCCCAGTGACAAATGTTCAGGCTGTGACTGATCAGGACTGATCATGCGAAAACCTGGGAAAAACTGTTCTGGAAAACAAATTCCCCATGGTACACAGGTGCGGGAGGGTGCGGGGCGCTACCCGATCCTTGATGTATGAAGAGCAGTTCAAACATTCCAAACAAGACCTAACGGGAAGAGACAACAAGCATGAAAGAATGTTGACGCAACGCCAAGCTCCGTTCCCGACGCTCAGTCTGTTCACGTCTGTTTTCAACCCGACTTCGGAGGCGGCTATTCTCCCCTCCGTTGGAACCTCCGGTTTGTCGTCCTCGCCTCGGGGGATACGCTTACATAGCATAAGGATCTGTAACTTTTTCACATGGTCTTGGTATTCTCAGGGATGATCGATGATCAAGGAAACCCTAGTGGGTCTTCGAAATGCGCCGACATGGCTTTGTATTGAAGCTTCTGTAAACAATCTAGGTCCTTCTACGTCTGCCTCGAAGTCATGGACAAGTTAGTCTAAACTGCGGCATACATATATGTGAGAGTCACAACTTTTTTTTGATGAAGACTTGGCCTGTCTGCCAAGCATGGATATGGCTAAATATAGCTTTATGCTTGGATCTAACCGAACTCCGCGATGGAACAGGTGCTGGTCCGTGCTGGTGCAGGACTGGTAATTGACAGGAGCCTAATACTCGCGCCTAAAATTACCTTTGCATATGGAACAAGCTGATGCAACGTCCAGGCCATGCTTTCATTTCATTCAATAATCAACGCAAATCAGTGTCTCCACCTTGTCGCCGAACGGGACTCATACCTCTCACAACCCGTAACTCTGTCTCCCACTGGACTAATCGGGGACGCATGGAACGAATTTCGAAACTCTAAACGATCGATCGACTGAATTTGACTGGTCTAGATTTCCCTGTAGTGAAGGAAGCTTTACCGTCTTTCAAGGTACCTGGCACGAGCGGGTGCACTTCCCGTCGTCGTCCATCGTCTTCGGGCTAACGGCCAAGCTCGGCCAAGGCAATCGTCTCACCTCAGAATGACGACCAGCGTCGCCTCCGGATTTCTGGTTGGCAGATCCCAGAATTTCAATGTCGGGGGCAGTCGAAAACCGAGCTCCACGTTGCCAAGGTCTCTCGCCATAGCTCGCCATGTACACTTCGCGGCAGTCTCAGAAATTATTCACCGAGGCACCCGGAAGTAGGTGGTGCCTGACCTCGAGACTCCACCTCATTCTGAACTCGAGGACTTTTAAAGAACACCACTTTTACAAGATTTTAAGATCAGCGAATGCAAACGAGTCCTTCGCTAATCCTCCA